ACACACGCACCTATATGAGGTACTGTATATGTACACACACACTGTGTATATACTGTTTTGAATTACTTTCAGCTACACATTAGATTTAGTTTCAATATTTTAAAAACTGAAATATGGTAGTTATAACAATTTTTGTCCATTGAATCGGACTGCCTCTGAAAGTAAAGCTGTTACTGTTCAACAACTGAATTCTCTCTGACAGGATGGGTGAACTCTGTCCATTGGTTTATAAAATAAACTGACATACACAAAACATACAAAAAATATTGCTTGCCCTTATACTGTATTTATGCAGTGAGTAATAATTAAACCAATTAGAGACCAACTGTGACTAAAACTGCAGTGATTTCAAGCAAGTTTGTTTACAATAAAATCAACATCTTTTATTTTAAATCCAACAAAACCAAACATCCCTCTCCCCAGGTGTTCCCTGACCAGAAAGGAGGCGTAATCCCTTCAGTGAGTTTTGGGTCTGCGTATCAGGACCAGAAAACCTCCAAAGTGTCTGATCAGATGCAAAAACCACCTCAATGGACTTCTTTCAATGAGGAGGAGCCGTGAGGATAGTGTTCCTTGAGGGCCAAAGTTGGTAACCAATGCTATAGAGCAGTGGTTCCCAATCCTGGTCCTCCAGTACCCCTATCCAGCATGTTTTACTTGTTTCCCTGCTATTTAGCAGGTCTTCAGAAGGTTGTTGTTTAGTATTACCTCTGAAAGCCATTGATTCTTTGCCATTTATTTGTAAATAATAAATCAAATAACATGTATTAAAGCAGTGATTCTCAACCCTAGTCCTCAATGACTCCTGTCCTGTATGTTTAGATGTTTCCCTGATTTGACACACCTGGTTTGAATGAATGAGTGATTAACAATCCTCTGAAGACCTGCTGAATAGCAGGGAAACAAGTAAAACATGCTGGATAGGGGTCCTTGAGGACCAGGATTGGGAACCACTGCTATAGAGTATGTTCATTTCAGCCACTTGTATCAAGTCATAATCCATATGTCATGACAGCAGGTGAGAGTTCTAACAGAAACATGCACTGTATCTGTAAATTGAGAGCTGCTTGGCAGTTCTAACATCTATAGATAAATCACCTCAGTGCGGACCCCTGAGTTTGTCTGAAAAATGTGCCACATTGACCTGATAAGAGAGCTTTCAGATGTTATTGTATTAGTCCGATATAAGTCAAGCCGGCACAATCAGCAGTGCTTTGTGCAGCTGCACCAATAATCTATCCTCATTTTGTTGGGGAGTGAATGAAGGATTTCTGCCAGTTTGATTGGTGTGAGTCTTGATCCCTGAGGACTTAAATGAAAACAACAATAATGATTATAGTCAGTTGGCCCAGATAGTAAAAGACAGAGAAGCAATCGGGACCAGTTTAATCTTAGACACCACTGAACAGCTGTAGGCTCCATCTATGACATCCTTCCTTCAGGACTGCAGGAAAAGTTGCTTGGATTTCAGTCCTGTATTTTTCTATTTAATTCAAACTCACAGACCACAAATTCACAATGTAAAAATACTAAGAATAGTGGAGAAAAATGAAAATTCTCCATCAAGAACTTTACAGAATCAGACTCAGTAGCATACCTTCCAATAGACCACATTTGGACAATTCAAAATTTTCTCCTTTTCTGTCCCAAGTCCCACATGAGGGAGGAGGGTGGGGCACACAATGTGCACATTTGACATGCTAGCTTGGCTTATATGTTTATGCCAATTTGCTACTGTGAAGCAGCACTATGCACCTGTTGTTTCTGCTAAATATGTTTTTTACTAACAAAATGAGGTCATTTTGGAAAGTGAGGACAATTTACCAGTACTCACTTTTTTTCAGTTCTACTGTGCTCCACTAATTAGGTTTAGAGGTATGTTGTTAAATAAGTTTGGTTAAGATTAGGTTACTGAAAATGTCTGGGTTAAGCATAAATGCAGTTACAAAAATGAATGCAAGTCAATACAAAGTCCTCAGTTTAATGGAAGCACAAGGATGCGTGTGTGTGTGTGTGTGTGTGTGTGTGTGTGTGTGTGTGTGTGTG